GGTAGCAAATCTGAAAGCATATAATTTATACTCACAAGGAAAAGAAAAAAAATGAAATTTTCTGGTAGCTAAAATGTTTATGAAGCCCTATGATGGGAAATCTAAGTCCAAATATTTACTCAGAAATTTTTGCAATATTTGTTCAATAAATTATTTTGGAACACTTAGTTTTTTAGGTACTATGATACAAAGATGAATAAAGAAAATCCTTGTTAATAGTCCAGCAGAGGAGACTTAAGCTTGTGTGTGTGTCTGTGTGTCTGTGTGTGTGTGTGTGTGTGTGTGTGTGTGTGTGTGTGTGTGTGCTGGAGTTTGAACTCAGGGCTTCATGCATGCTAGGCAAGTGCTCTAACACTAAGCTACATTTCCAGCCCAAATAATTACTAACTTAACAAAAAAGCAATAAATAAATAACCAAACCCCTGCATCTCTTTTGACGGACTCTTCACCTCCTGCAATGAGAAGTGACATAGCAGGTGCCACATACAGAGGAAGTATAACCATGAGTGGTTGGGCCCAATCAAATCTAAATGATCTAAGATTCACTTTTTAGTGACAACTTTTATTTAGGTACAATAATTTTTATAAATAACGTATAATTTTATAAATTAAAATATATAATTAAGTTTACTTAGATATAATTTTGAACTTACAGAAAAGTTGCAATAAATACTACAAGAACTTCTGTTCACCCAGATTCACCAATTTTTTTCTTTGTTTTTCTTAATCATTTGTAACTTGGAAATAGTTTGCCTAGTTAACTACTCCTAAACACTTTAGTGTGTGTTTTCTAAAAGCAAGGACATTATTCTACTTAACCACCATGCAATTATCCAAATCAGAATATTTACCATTGATATAACATCATTATGCAATGTATAGTCCGTATGCAAAATGTCTCAATTTTCTTAATAGTTTTTTTTCCCAAAACTGATTCAATCTAGGCTCATTCATTTAATTGTCATACTTTGTATTCTTCTTTAACCTGAGACAGTTCCTCAGTCTTTTTCTTTCTTTCTTGATCCTGACAGTTTTGATGATTATAAGCTAGTGATTTTATAGAATTCCCTTCAAGGTGAATCTATGTGATGTTTTCTCATGGTGAGATTCAGTGTATGAATTTATGGCAAGAATAAGTGATTGATTTTTTAAACCCCAGAATACCTGCCTCTGCCCAGGGCTCCCTTAACTTTGACCAGACATTGTATGTAGCAGTAGGGGGGTGAGGTTTTCTTGTAAAATTTAGGTTGTATTAGTCAGTTTTCTATTGCTATGACAAAATACCTGAGATAAATCAAATTGAGGAGGAAATTGAGATAAATCAAATTTATCTCAATTAATAAACTCAATTAATAAATTGTATTAATCAGTTTTCTATTGCTATGACAAAATACCTGAGATAAATCAAATTGGCTTATGGTTTCAAAGTCTTCAGTCCATGGTTACTTGGCCCCATCATTTGGGCCTGATGGAAGGCTCAACATCATGGTGGAGAGCACACAGTAGAGCAAAGTTGCTTGCCTCATGGCTACCAGGAAGCAGAGAGAGAAAGAGAGAAAGGGAGAAGGGTTAGGGACAAAATATACCCTTAAGGACATGCCTCCAATGACCTGCTTTCTTCAATGAAGCCACTCCTCCTAAGGTTTTCACCACCTTCTAACAGTACCCTAGCTGGTGAAAAAGCCTTTAATATATGAAATTTGGGGGGGACATTCCAGACCGAAACTACATTAATTTTTCTTTGCTTCTTCCTATGATTCCTAATTTAGTTATAAGTATTGCTAAAATCCTTGAGCATGTCTGCTTCTTGGGGAGTTTAGACTTAATTGAAACCTTATGTTAATTCCTGATGTATGTCTCCATTCACCCATGGACTAGTCTGCTTTATTATGATGGTGATGCATAAATTACCTATCAAAGTGAATAAATGACTGACAGGGATAAAAAATGACAAGAAGGTGGTAAGGCCATTTTTCTCCTCTATTTTTTGTATTTTATTCTTTTGTCTTTATTTCTTTTATTTTTCTCCTCTTCTAAATAAGTACATTTGCAATCCAATCTCTAAGGAAAGTCAACCACATAGAATCCTCAAAGCAAGAGCTTTACCCAAGAGCTTTACCCAAGCCCTAGTGCAAAGGAGGTCAAGGCTTTAGTGAGGTTTGGAATTTTGACTGCCTATTCAGTTCCTGCTCCCTCATGCTGACATGGATTATCCAAGGCTATCACAAAGTGGAAGGAGAAGGAAGTGTGGGAGAAAAGAATGGGTGGAGAAGACTTCCAAGAAGTGGCAACTATGTAAAGGTTAGCACCCAGCACTTAATTCATTTCAGCTTGGAAATGACCCCTTTGTACAGCTTGTTCTTCCAGAGAGAGAGATTAAAATGCTTTTTTGCCTACTTTTAGTGGTGTGGTAATTAAAACAATTAATCCTAGGACCTAAATAATGTGGCTCAATTTATATGGTGGAAGAGAGAGTGGTCCTCCTTCATCTGCTTCTACTCACTGAAGATCACATCCAAGAAAATGAGCAAATTCCTATATTTTACTTCCACACATAGGGTCTATTTAGAGAGAGGAAGGGATTATTAAGGGGGAATCTAGAATCTAAAGTTTCTATTTCCCTGAAACTGAGAAGCAAGCTTATTTAGAGATGTTACTAGCATAGCTCAAATGCAAACTTAGTTGATTAAAATAATATTTTTTTGTGCATTTAGAATGTGCTGGGCCATTCCTTAGGAGCTTTACATAACTTGTCTCATTTAATATTCAGTATATTCTATGAGTTGGATAGCATTATGATCATTAGTTGGATCATTATTATGATCATATCCTGTTTTTCAGATGAAGCAGCTGGAACTGGGAAAAGTGAAGAAATCGGCCAAGATCAGTTAAAAGTGGAGGCAGTATTTCAACACAGGTAGTCTGGCCCAGAGCCCATCACTCAACCAGTGTGCCATTGACATTCCAGCTTTCAGTTTTCCTACAGTCTAATAGTTGCCATAAGACAACTAAGAGATGAATACATTCCAGATGACTGGGTTGGTCAGAGAAAATTTCACAGAAGGCAGGTTTGAACTAAACCCTCAGAGGTGGATAGAGAGGTCAATGTGGAGGATTCTGACAGCCTGATATTTATTGGCCAGGGCACAGGATCACTGCAGGGACAAAGCGATTGGACCAGCTACACCCTCCCCACATTCTTTTGGGCCACCAGTGTTTCCTTGGGTCTCCATGGGGTTAGCTGAAAAGACTGAACCTACCCCTGGCCATACCAGCCTAGTTACTGCTCTTTCCATCCCAGCTTCACTTCTTGGAACTAGGTAGTTTAGTTTAACTCAGGGTGTGGCAGTGGAAAGCCACACCACATTCTCCAATTTAGCTTAACTATGAGCAAAGCTATCTTGATTTTCCTCTGGCTTCTTGTCTATTCTGAACTTGGATGAAAAGATGAGCAATTGACACCCTCAAAATTTCAACAATGGGAAAGTAATAGAAAATTCAAATTTAAAGGGCAAATTAGACATGGCAGACCAAGGAGATCAATAAAGGGTGGTATAAGGAATTTAGCCAAAGCCTACAAAAATCATTTATTATAATTCTCTGTGCAAGTACACATACCATGTTTATCCATATAGCAAAACATTCTGGGATTTGTTTCCAAATTAATCTTTAGAAATATGTTACAAAATCCCTCTTTTTCTTGTACCAGAGTCTGAACCCACAGGTGCCTAACCATTGTGCCACATCTCTAGCCCTTTTTATATTTTACTTAGAGACAGGGTCTCACTAAATTGTTTAGGTTCAATCCTCAGCACCACAAAAAAAACGAAATCCCCATTTTTATACAAATAAATTTGCCAAGAACCTTAAGTCTTTTTTTTTTTTTGGTACTGCAGATTGAACCCAGGGGTGCTTTACCACTGAGCTACATCTACAGTTAATTTTCTTTTTAAATTTTGAGACAAGGTCCTGCTACATTGCTGAGTCTTGCTAAATTGCTGAGGCTGGCCTCAAACTTGTAATCCATTTATTTCAGCCTCCTCAGTCATTGAGATTACAGGCATACACCACCATATCAAAAGGAACTTTAAGTCATTTTTAAAAGTCAAACTAATATATTATCACGTCTTTGAATCATTTCTCTTCTCCCCAAATTGATGTTTTTCAAGCATTGCTTGACGACCAAAGAACATTTCAATCTGTTTGGAAGGCTTTAATGATCTGACAAATACTGTTATTATTTGGAAACAATTTTTTCATCCTTCTTCCCAAACAGTGCACCTCAAATGACAGCCTCTGAACTGATCTCAGTGTTAGGCAGTTTTTTTATCATTAATATTTACGTCTTTATATTTGAATGTTAATTTGAAAATAATCTCCAATTTAAATATTTTATGTAAATTTATAAGTATAGAAATTAGTTTTGACATCAAATCTGAAGACAATTGCCAACTATTAGCAAATGGGCAAAAAAAAACTCTTTTCTCTAAAAATCAGGTTGCCATTATATTCTTTTTTTATTATCAAATGACCTTGTATGAAAATAGGAAGAGAATTTTTTTTTCTCCTTACTAAGCAAAACAGTTGTCCCAATCTCTGCAAAATATTTTCCCTATATCTCTGCCCCTTCCAGAATAAAAGAAATGATAGCATGTTTGCTCTTCCGCTTCAGGAGAGAAAGAAGCTGTAGGAAAATTACTTTTTTTCCACTTGTGTGATTTGAGAAAAAGCTACAACTCCAGCCTTTCAATGTGCAAGAAAAACAATACACACTTATTATACTGCTATCTGTGGGACCCAAATGTATTAAGTTAGGAGAAGATAAATCAGGAGAAAGATGGAATATATTTTGAATAAAATGTTACATTTGCTGCTTTTCTGTCTTCTGGAATTTAACCTCCACCTGACCCACCTCCAAGCTAATCACTTTGGCTCTCTTAGCACTTCCTTATAGTTATCTCCCCTTTTCTCCAAAATAAACTTCAGAACCATTTTTAATCTACATTTTAAAGTTTATTTGGCTATCTATTTATATATAACCTTGTAAAAGAGTTTAAAGTGGTTTAAGAGGATCCATAACATACACCAAGAATCTAATAACAGATCAGGAAAGAAGCATATACACACACCAAAACAAAACTTAATACAGTTCTATTCATTTACTTTGGGTGGACTACAAATTTGGTCCTAAGCTTTCTAGAAGGCAAAAAGAAAAGGCAAGTTAATTAGTTCATTTAGTGTCCATAAAACCAAAACAAACTAATCACACAAGTGGAACACTGTTATTTCTAATAGTAAATCCAGACCAAAATTCTCTTGAGAGGCTTCATTAACAGACCAGCGCATGATGTTATAGTCAGTGTTCTCAACAGCAATCCAATGGGAGATACAAAGATGAATTTCACAGGACTTCTTCTTGGATTCTTCAGAATAGGCAGATGGCATCACACCAAGTTGAAGATCAGGAAAAACACTGTTATTGTGAATTTGACAGTTTTGGGAATGTCCAGTATGATGTAGTCCAGATAGTCCACTCTTTAGCTAGGCAAAATCAGGAATACATTTTACAATCATTCCAGTCCTCATGATGGTTTTGGAGAAACTGCAAAACGTCCAACACTGTATATGCAATGTTTAGGAATAAGGTGAGTGTGTTTCTTCTTGACAGAGAAAAGACAGCTTGTTGGATCCCCAAAAGTCCACAAATCACTCAGAAAGGTTAAGAACAGATTAAAATTAAACAGGTTATAGAATTAAACAGAAAATTCTGCATGCTATTCTGAATACTTATTTTTTTCATCTTAGCCTTCTCTGCAAAAAGAACCTTTTTTGTTTCCATTTAATCCACGGCTTGGGCGGGTGCTCCTGGGTGGTGAGAAGCTGTCTCTTGGCTGGTGCTAGAAACTCAGGCGTATCTTGATGTTAGGAGAACACAGAGGAGCCGCTCCAAAGCCGATGGGCCCCGGGGGGCTCCTAGTTACCCTTGAGTGTGAGCTTTCTGAAGAGATACTCGCCCAGACCAGCATCCTGGCCGGCCAGCCTGCGGAGGTTGGTCAGATGCTCACCCATCTTTTTGATGAGTTGCACTTCCTGGTCTAAGAAGTGGCTCTCCAGGAAAAAGCAGAGTTGGGGGTCTGTGTTAGTCAAACCCAGGGCATGCAGATCCAAAAGGGCCTCGTTCAGATTCTTCTCCAGGATCAGGGCAGCTTCCATGGCTTCCAGGCAATCATGCCACTCATCTTGGGTCAGCTTCTGCCCATCCTGGCAGAGGGAGCGGTCGCTCACCTGGTTTTGCCTCAGGAGACGATGGGCACCTTCTCGCTTTTCCTCAGCCAACCTGAAGAAGAAACCGCCCTCCAGAGCCACACGGTTTCCTTCGAAATAGAAGCCCAGAGAGAGGTAGGTATAGGAGGCCTGCAGGTGCATGCTGATCAGGCGGTCGAGGGCAGCCTGCACCTTATGAGTATAATCCTGGTGACCCTGGGTGCTCATGGCTGCGTGGCAAGACCGAGCAAACACAAAATATGATGCTGGCTCGTCCCGGAAGCAGGGGATAGTTGAGGAGATATACCGGAAGTTGTGAGTAAAGAGGTGGGGCTAGAGGCTGGTGTGACGCTGGGGATAGGGTTAAGGTTTTTTTTCCCCTGCCATTCTGAAGATTGAATCCAGGGAGTCTCTACCACTGAGCTACATCCCTAGCCCCTTTTTTGTTTTTAGTTAGTTAGTTAGTTAGTTAGTTAGTTAGTTTGTTTTGAGACAGGCCCTCGCTTAACTGCTCAGGCTGGCCTCCAATTTGCAATCTTCCTGCTTCAGCCTCCTAAATTGCTGGGATTACAGGTGTGCACCACCACATTTTTGATAGGTAGGTGGAATTACAGGAGACTCAGTCTCTCAGTTTACTTTCTGATAAGAATTTAATCCTTCCTTCTTTCATAATTAATGGAAAGGAGTCCTTATTTGTTATCTGACCCATATTTAACCATGATTCCAAGCTGAGGTAAGAATGTCAAAAAGTATTACAGTGAAATCCCTCTGAATCTTTGTGACTTAAATTCTCTTGTTTCTTAATTGAGAACCTGAGAACCTATATTTCAGTATTTTTTTTTTCCTCCTGCCTCTGGTCACTCATTGTCTCAATGATTAGCCATTAATCCCAGTTTGCCTAGGGCAATCCTGTTGTCCTGGTGTAATTATTAATGGTAACCCTTTTCTCTCTCAAAAGTGTTCCTGTTCAGAATACATATTACATGGGCACCTTTCTGATTCAAAAGGACAAAACACACTAAGGAATGTGACATGAATAGAATTTGTAAAACATTGAACTTAGACATAATTTATTTTCATTTTATTAATCATAGCAGAGCTCCCATTATAAATTTTCTATTCATCTATTCATATTTTATATCTTTTTTTGTACTTGGGATTGAACCAAGGGGTGCTCTACCACTGAGCCACATTCCCAGCCCTTTTTATTCTATTTTGAGAAAGGGAATCACTAAGTTGCTGAGGGATTCACTAAATTGCTGAGGCTGTCCTTGAATTTGCGATCCAACTGCTCCAACCTCCTGAGTCTCTGGGATTAAAAGCATACACCACCAAGCCCAGTTTGCTTTTTAGTTAGTGATGAATTCATTTCTTCTAGAAAGTTCTATGGAATATCATATATACCAGATGTTTTGTTAGATACTGCTGTCTTGTGATTCCAGACATTCTACCATTAACTGAAACATCATATAAACAGCATGAGAGATGAAAAACATCAATTTATAAAATAGAATGGTCATGGAGGATGTTAGCTTTTCCCTATTGGAAGAGAAAGGCAGGACTCTTCCAGCTTTGTGATTCCATGCTTACCATTTTATATTCTTAAGTACCATTTGCCTAGGTCTGTTTCACAATTACAACATTTTCATTTGTTTTCTATCAAACAGGAAAGCATATTCTATTCAAGGTAAACAAGATTTGAACCCCAGAGAAGAGAGCTTTGCTCTAAACTTTGGACCTAGTTCTAAATGAAAGTAAAAAATCAATTCTTTTGCAGCTACTTTCAGATTTTATTTTCTGTTGCTGAAAACCGACACCTTAAAATTTCAAAAAAGCAGCCTATAGTTTCCCTTTACTGCTTAAACAAAAATATGAACACATATCCTGTATTTTAAATACAGGATTTTTTTTTCATGGAAGGTTGTCGTCCAAAAGTGTTCTCGTATTGCATTTGAGGTTTGCAAAAATTGCTAGAATTCAGGAATAGCCACATTTTTCAGTCCTTGAGGGAATTGAATAAAACAAAAGTAGTTCTGCAGCCTTCTTGGCCTTGGTTATATTGCAAAAAAGGGGGGCTAGGACTGAACAGGAAGAGGAAAAACAGAAATTTAAACCCAAGAATAACCTAGCAAGTGGCCAAATAGGATGGAAATTACAGAAGATGCAATACTTTGCAAAGGGCAGCAAAGAAAATGATAATTTTCTATCTTGTGCATGAACCATTAATCATCATATTGGCCTTGTAAGAAAAAAATGCTAAGCCTACAGAAAACTTCACCATATAAAATATTATCTGTATGATAACATGTCAGGCTCATTTACTGTATTTCAATTTCCTATACATTTCCTTATTTCTCTTGGTAAAGAAAAATGTCTATGTAAACCTTCCCAGATGAGATAGTTTTCTGCTTTGTGCAAATGTTGACAAATCTTTCCTTCATCACTTTGGAGAAAAGGGGGCCAGCATCAGAGTCACACTCTAGTGGGTGGTTAAGTACTTTGTTGTCAGAATCAGACTGAAATGGGCTTAAATCCCAGCTTTGGCACTCAACCATGAGTGCAACCTGAGGCAGATAGCATAACCTGTTTGTTTGAACCTCAACTTTCTTGCCTGTCAAATGGGAATGTTAATATCTCACGAGTGTACTACAAAGATTAAATGATACTATGCATGAAAAGACAGTGTCGAATGAGCAAAAAGAGCTAAGAAATGACATGTGGATTTTACAATAAAATTGTGGAGAGCCTCTGAAACCCTAAGAAGTATCAGGAGCAGATACCAATATGTTTTTTTTTAAAGAGAGAGAGAATTTTAATATTTATTTTTTTAGTTCTCGGCGGACACAACATCTTTGTATATGGTGCTGAGGATCGAACCCGGGCCATACGCATGCCAGGTGAGCGCACTACCGCTTGAGCCACATCTCCAGCCCCACCAATATGTTTTGATCCAAGTTTCCTCACTATAGACCTGTTTGCCTTAATCATTCTGTGACTTTTGAGCAGGAAAGCAGAGAGGCGCAACTTGGATATCCAAAATCCAACTCACTTGAAACATGAGCAAGCTTTTCTTCCTTCTGTTGGCTAAACATGCTTCCACAGCATCTCCTGAGGTACTTTGTGGCAGTTTTATAGCCCAAGGTCATTCTCAGTTACAACATGAAACATCTCATGGCTTCCTACCTCGTAGGAAATGGTAAGATTCTGGAACACTTCGTGCAACTGATAGAATTCACCGCTCCTTCAACTCAAATGTCGAACTTGGAATTCTTATGTGTTCAGTCTGATTCTCCAGAAGCAGATACTGATATGAGGATTCTTGTATAACTGATTTATGAGCAAAGTGCTCCCAAAGAGACAAAAAAAAATGCATAGAGATTGCAGGACAGAGAAAGAAAGGAAGTCAAGATGTAAGGCTGCAATTTCAGGAAAAGTCTCAGCTTTGTCCTAATCCTAAGGTGGAGGTCCGGAGTATAAGTTACACCAAGAATTTATTTCAGCATGAGGCAAGGGATCTGGGCTTTCCGATTCCTTCCCATTGACTGTGGGCTTACCCAGGGTGATATAAACTCCCAGAGTCTATATATAGGTAAGACAACTCCATTAAACAAAGAGCAAGGTGCCAAAGAAGGTCACAGGTGCCAATCATTATCAGAAAAGCACACTGACCCCGGGTGCAGAGCACACCAAACTAATGGAAGGGATCCAAGTAGATTTGGGCAGGGCATGTCCAGTATCCAGCACCAGCTTGCTATACTGATTGACCTTGGGAGGTCTCAGAATTCAGTGGTAATGAGGAACTTTAATCAGAACCTTTATACCAGGAATCTAATGAATAATATACTTTATCATAGGTATCAATCCACATTTGTCCCTCTTTACTGCTTCTATTTACAGGAGATACAGGGCTTGGGGTGCAATCTTAAACACCTTCAATCTCCTTTGTCATCCCTGAAAGTCTATCATCTTCTTCAAGGGTTTCTTTTGCATATACACCAGCCAAATCAAGCCCAAGGCTTCAGGTAAGAAGACATTTGCATCTTTTATCTGACCCTTTACTCTGATTGACAGCATTCCCCATAGTGGAACTACATATTGATTTTTTAATAGCTCACATAGTACTTAAAAGTCAAAACATCCTAGCAACCCAGAAACTGACAGGCTGTGAAGTGACTGCTTAAGGGCCTGTCATCCAAACCGAATTTACCTGAAAACTGATGTTACACAAACAGAAAAAAATGGTCTCTGCATGCTTCTCATTTTTCTGAAAGGAACTATAGGGGTACAGAGTTTAGTTCTGAGCTGTTTATCTATTTTGGACAAGCAACTGCTTGGCAGCAGGAACAGTTATGAAATAGGAAGAGCTA